TCGGGTTTTGTTCAAGTGACCACCCTCTTTCGATCCTCCACCCTGACCCGCTTGAAAATATTTTTTTTATTGAATTTTATTTGAATTATAGTGTATGAAAATTGTCAAAATAATCAACTTTCAACCCCCATAACTTTTTATGAGGGTGAGACCGCCGCAATTTTTTTTATGAGGTTTTACTCAGGTGACCACCCTCTTTCGATCTCCTCTACTCCCACCCCCATAACTTTTTATGGGGGTAAGACAGCCACGAACTTTTTATGGTACAGTAGTGGGGGAGACCTCCTCTTTCGATTCTCCCTTTGGGGGTGGGGGCCATCATCTAGACATTTACCGAAATTTTGAAGGTTTCAAAAGAGGTTGTGTGGTTTTGGTTAGTTGTTCAAGTACTTTTTCATAGTTCCTGGGTTTTATAAAATGCATAATTTTTTATAAGCCTATGATAAAATAATGAGGTTTTTACGAATACACTTATTTACATTATTTATTATTATTCCAATTTTGTGTTGACCTCGAATGAACGATAAACAATTTCAGGACGGTATAATTTGAATATTATTGCAAATTAATTCCCATCCCAAGTCCTCTTTTGTCAACACTATTAATGGAACAAAAATACCAACATACCCTAATACCCACACTTATACCTATAGTCGAATTTCGATTTCTGTAACTTGTAGCACTTTTATTATGTAAGTTACATGGGAAGTGATGGTTTTATTCGAACGATAAGACTTGAAGCATTATGAAATCGAAGTCGAAATTCATATGTAGGTATGTGGTCAATACATTTAGTGAATAAGGAGCGTGTGTAAGTTCACGTAGAGGCATCAAAGCAACTAGTATCGCTTAATAGGCACACGCATGGGAATTACAAACACATTATGTACAACCTATGTATAAGAAAAAGATATACGCTACAAATACACATATCACGGCGGGAAATCGTAAAAAAAATGTAGGCAGGTAAATTCCGGCAAGTTATGTCATAAAGTAATAGTACATTATGTGCCTATATATATAATTAAACCATATCCAGCTTCGGAATGCATTAAAACAATGCAGTTAAACAAAAAAAAAGAGCAAATCAGCTACGAATACACCTACCTGTACTGTTTCTTGCCCGGCTGCAGTCGACTTCAAAATTTTTAAAGGTTGATTGGATAAAATACTATTAATTGATTTTCCACCCGATTGAACGACTTTGATCACTTGGGGTTGACCTAAGACGAAGAAATAAATCTGACTAAATATTTAAATATAACTTGATAAACATTGCCATATATCAATTGTAAATTCGACCTCACTCTTATTTTAAATTACGTTCTACCGTTTCTCTCGATTACTGTTTGAGTTCGTTGGTGTTTTACGATTATGCTTATTCAATATCAATACAATTGCAGCAAGATTAGATTTTAAAATAATTTTTTGTTGTAATATGTAACCCCCAAGTGCAGAAATATTTCAAATAGCATGCTATATTTTGCAGGACTTACCGTTGGAATCGTGGATAACCCAATTAACTGTACTTGACTGTTGAGTCATCACTGATAATTTAAGAGTCTTTTAATATTAATATTATAAGCAAAAGGCTGCTTAAAACTAGAATTTTTAAAATTTACCCGGACTACGTTCGCACGAAAGTAGAAGTCTGACCAAAATGGCGACTCCAACAGGATAACATTTCACGACTGATAACCGGAAACTCTTACAAGTTAATTTCGTTTTAATTTTTTAACGATGTAGAACTTCTATTGCACTATCATTATTCCCAACTTTCAATTAAATTTGTTGGTACAAAATTTATTTACGCGGTTTCAAAGACGTGGTATTTCGTGCACATACATCTGGGATCAGCTTGGCGGCGGGCACAAAGTAACGTTAGCTATTGGTCAGTGGCTCTCACGTGGGACACGCGCCTTCTAATTCAACCATCGACCACTAGGTACTTGAATAGTGCAGATGAGGGCGCTAATAGTCGAGCAAGAAATTGAAATGTAGAAAACTTCAGCACATGACATTCAATCAAAACAAAGGGCTGATAGTTGTTGCCATACCATTGTTGTAACAATAACATTTCATGTTACTTTATTAATATTATGTGGTACGTAACAAGCATTATTTTAAAAATATAACTTTTCAAAGAATCATAAATTACAATATATTTAATGATTTTGTATACAGTTATATGGATAACATAAAATAAACTAACTAAGGTCTATCTTTTTTACGTGTGTGTTCCTAACTACTTCCATCCTGTAAACACCTTAAAAATGGATTCAGTAGTGCCCGACAATGTTTTAGAAGTAATATTTTCGTATTTAGACCTACATGACTTAAGGAATTGTTCATTAGTTTGTAAAAGATGGTATGCATTTTTAAATGATGAAAACAACGACGTCTGGCGATTACATTGTATTAGAAGATTGGCTGAGGAGGCACTAAAGTCAGATTTACTTTCATCTGTACCTACTTACAAGGCTAAACTTAGAGCTTTTTATCACGCGTGGAATCCTGGGGATTGCTCAAGAAATATTTATGTTAAGCCAAATGGTTTTACAATACACAGAAATCCGGTAGCACAGAGTACTGATGCTGCAAGAGGCAAAATTGGCTTTAGACATGGGAGACATGCATGGGAAGTAATTTGGGAAGGCCCTTTGGGTACAGTTGCAGTAATAGGAATTAGTACGAAAGATGCTCCATTGCAGTGTCTTGGGTATGTGGCTCTTTTGGGGGCAGATGACCAAAGCTGGGGATGGAATCTAGTTGATAATCACTTATTACATAATGGAGACGCACAAGGAAATTATCCTTTGCTGAATAATGCCCCCAAATATCAGGTTAGTTTGATACTACAGTATTTGTTTATTGTTTTTCAATAAATATATATATATTATACATTTGTAGGTGGGTGAGAGAATACGAGTTATTTTAGACTGTGATGACAATACATTGTCTTTTGAGAAAAACTATGAGTTTCTTGGAGTTGCATTTCGAGGTAAAGATACATTATTTAATTGTTTAATGTACTTTCTTCCTAAATCCCTTTTCCTTTAGGTTTGCCAGATAAAAAATTGTATCCAACAGTGTCAGCTGTTTATGGTAACACAGAAGTTTCAATGGTATATCTCGGACCACCTTTAGATGGCTAACACATTTTTCCAGGAAGTATCTTGAAAAAAGAAAAATGAGGCAATTTTTCTTTTAAAGAAAAAGCTATTAATGGAAATAGAGGTCAGTCAGGTTTGCCAATGTGATAAAACTAGCATTACTGAGGTAGAAATAAGAAATTATTCTTACTTGACCACATTAGAAATATTTTAGTTTTACAGTGAATTGTTTTATATGCACTGTATTTCCTGTATAAATAATATTCATTCAATCAAGTTACAAGTTAATTCATGAATTTAAAGTGATTGAAGTTATAACAAACATTCTTTAACTGAATGTAATATACATAGGTTTGTAATGCTATATGCAAAAAGGGATTTATCTTGCCAGAGGTCAAAATTGCCATTTTGCTGAATGTTTATGAAGAGATGTTGAGGTAGCAAAATAGCCATGTTTTGCAAAAAAAAACAAATTTTGCTTTTGAAAATCAATTAAAGAAAGCATATCACATTGATAATGAATTTTATAATTTTTCTCAAGAAGACTCAATTTGAAATTATGTGTAATAACTTACTTGTTTAAATAACAACTATCAAATTATTTGAAAATGAGGATAAGCAAACTAATCTCAATTTATTTAAAATGAATGTAGACCGATAACATATCCATAACATTGTTTCATATCAACATTAGTTCAGTTTGAAGTGTGATTTCTGAATTAAAATACATTGAATCCACTGTAGGAGGATAAGAGTCAAAATTCAGTAAAAATGGCTTTGGAGCTCATTTTTCAAACTTCTGAAAGCTTTGGCTAGATAAGGTCCCATTTTACAGATGGCATTACATATTTTAATTAATAAAATTAACGTTGATGACTTGAAAGATTTGTAAAAATCTTTGACAATTAACAGTTCTGTAAAAAATACAGAAATTACGTATACCATGTACTAGGCACATGATGTTACCTTTTTTTTGTAGGATATTTTTCTGTTATTGAAATGGTTACTGTTATTGCTTTATGTTCTCATTTTTTAATAATTACGTGAATTGAAAAACTTTTTGGTACTACTAAGTAAATATTAAGTAGATGAATTCCTAATGTCTTTTTAGACCAGTTTTTATTTAGATTTATTTTCTTTTCTGTGAAATTATTCAATTGCTGACGATTAAAAATAACTTTTTAATAAAAAACAGTTCCATTCCGTACTGCAATTAACTATAAAAAAGTTTTCAAAGTACTTTTAATGTAGAGATAAGATTTTTTTCTTAAAATTATTTAATTTGTTGACGAGTTTTCAATTTTGTGCCAAAAGTTTAAAGTTACTTGAATCGTCAGTGAAATATATTTGGCATTTTTTACAAGCTTCTTGTAATTCCTGTTATAAGTGTAATTGTCCAGTTTTTCAACCAATTTTCATTTAAGTAGGGATAAACCAGTGTTGCCTTTTTAGAATCCGGCAAAATATAATAAAGTAGTTTATAGGTCAATACTTTTATATATTGCTTTCGATTTTTATTAGAAAAGATATTTACTATAGAAAGGACAGATTCACGTAAGAGAAAGCTGAAATTGAAAGCCCTGTTTTCCTTTATTTCTTAATTAATCCATTTCAAATGGTAAAAGACTGCCTTAGCATCTTGTGGAATAGTGTGAGTGTGTCTATTAACTTAATTAAATGGCTTAATTCCATCCTGAAGTTGCTTATAAAATGTAACACATACGTGAATTTTAATACTGCCAAATATTTTTTTAGGTGATGTAAATTTTATGATTTTGTGTACAAAAATTTGGGCCTCATAAATACAGGGCGTTTTGAATTTTTTACACTTATGGAATATCTATAAAAGAAGTAAGAAAGGTAAGACCAAAACAGAAGAAATTTGCTCAGAGCGGATTTCTGCATGAAAAACTTCTCACCCCACTTTCTCTTCTAAAAAGAAAAGAAATTGAGACATACTGTGTACTTTTATAATAAACTTTCATTCATTTATCACTTTTGATGGAGTATGTTCTTATGTTGCTTTGGTGCTTCTGAAATAATTACTTCAATACACTAAATGAGGCTCAAATTGGCTGCTAATATGTGGTTTGTATGTGCCTACATATTATTATATGTAGTTACACATAATATAAAATTTTTCAAACCGTAAATTACATTCTCGGTGTTGAATTGTTTCTTCATTTAGTTTTAGTTGCGTTTCTTAAGTAACTCTATCATTAAGTATCACGTCACTGTTGTAGATTTTCTAATTAAACAAGCGTAACTGAATTGTATGAGGACAAAGTATTGAAATTAGTAATATCCATTGTTATTTTCTGTGATAGCATAATTTTAATGATTGAATGATCTTTTTTTGGTTACTTTTGTATGCTTAAAGATCCGTAAGAAGATGGTACTGATTTATTTTATATGAACTTGTTTATGTATGTAATACTTTCAGTTTGAAGCAATAATACAAATTATTACTAGTCGTTTTATGCGTTAACGATGTACCTAAGTTCAAGTATTTTGTTAACTTTTTTGTTCGTTATTTGTTGATTTGTAGGGAGCGTACAAAAATAATTTGGTGTCTTGCACCAGATTGATAAGAGGAAATGTACAATTTTGTATATTACAAAATGTGTTATATATAGATGTTCGTCAATTTAGTAAATAATAAAACAAAAATTTGCTTAATATTTGCTTTATTTTTTTGCTTTGCATAGACTCATACATAATAGTACATACA